ACCATGGACTGAACCCTCTGAGACCATTGGAGCAGCTGACCATGGACTGAACCCTCTGAGACCACTGGAGCAGCCAACCATGGACTGAACCTTATGAGACCATTGGAGCATCTGACCATGGACTGAACCCTCTAAAACCATGAGCCAAATTAAACCCATTACTTCTATGTTGTGTATATCAACTACTTTTTCCCAGAAATGGAGACATAACTAATAAATATACAATGTAAAAGAATTAAATTAAGGTGATAAACTTCTATTTTTTCAAGCATTAACCATCTTTACATGTTGGTGATTTCATATCTTTCTTTTTTTTTGTTACTATGAAATACATCATAGATCATTTTAGCCAGTCATTCCCCTACTGCGCTATTACAGGAAAATTTAATTTTGTTAAATGGATTGGCTAAGGGTTCACCCAGGGGATTGGGAAAGCAAACTTCTTGGTGTGTACAAGTGGCTGAAGTAGGCATGAATTTGGAGTATTATGCAAGGTCCCTTGTCCTTTCCCTTTGATACTTATACCCTGCTCCATGCCCTGTCCACCACGCACTTCTCTGTTGTGTTCTACCACACCTTCTGCTGCCATATTGTTTCTGTCTTGGATGCAACCAACCATGGACAGAATACCCTGAAACTCTGAGCCAAGCTCAACTTCTCCTCCTTTAAGCTATGAGTGGTGAGTATTGCATTCATCAATGCACAAGCTGAATAACATATAAGCTGCAGAAAAACAAGAATAATTCTTGTTTTCTACCTTTGTTTTGCTGTACCATATTGAACTTCTTTCCACCTTCTACCCATCTACCATTCCCAGTCTCTAGTAATGTGTATTTCATTCTATTCTTTTGTGAGATCGACTTATTAATTTAGGGAAATTACTGAGAATAAGTGATACTCATTGTTTAAATTTCTGGCTCATTTCATTCAACTTACAGACCAGTTTTTGTCTCAAACACTCAAGACTTGATGTATTATAGAACCAGTCACAGCAAACATAAGTGGGAATGAATGTAGTTCTGTTATAGTAAAGCATTATTTTCACAAAGTACTGACCATCACATAGTTTAGAGCTCTCTAGTGTCAATTATAGACATCATTGATGTTATTATTGCAACCTATGATAAATTATTGTAGGAAGATCAGTGGATGTGAGAGCTGGGTAATGCTTCTAAAAAGATGCAAGTTTGGAAACCAATTATTAAATACAAATTACAAGAAGGGATTCTTTTGGATTGGGATTCCATACGGGTGCACAAAGGCCAATCTAAAAATAAAAGTGGAGTCATTAATGCTAAAGTTTCAAGGCACCAAACCAAAAATAGGATGTTATCTGATTTGAGAAATCAGGAGGGAGGGAGAGAGAGAGAGACAGAGACAGAGAGACAGAGAGAGGGAGACAGAGACAGAGAGAGAGAGAGAGAGAGAGAGAGAGATTCCCCAAACATTTGTTTCAATTGGCCTGATTCTGAATTTCCCTCTTTCTTAATCCTGGCAAAAAGTAACATGAATTCACCTGTTCTCAACTCATGTTTGCTACTGTGTCTCTTTTTTCTTGCCTCACAAGAAATGACCAATTCTTGTTTTTCTTCATTCTTTGTTTCACCTTTATTCAACCTTTCTCTTGCTATAAAACCCACCTCTGCTTCTTGGTGTATAGTTTCATAATATTCTATTTTATGAGATACAGTGTACCCTGATTCTAGAATTGCAAAAGAAAGCCAGTGAAGATCTTTGAACCAACTTGTAAATTTATCCTATGAAAAACAGAATAACTTTACAGTTATATTTAGGAATCTCATCCCAAGTAGATACATTCAAATATAAAACGGTTCATTGAGATACGCAGCCGCTGCTCTGGATAACTGATCCCAGAGTGACAGCTAGCCTTGACTGCTGAACAAGCCACTTCCATAACCAAGAGACTGTATTTTAGTAATCAGAAGTCGTGTGTTTAAATTTTTAATTTTTAATTATGGAATTAATTAAATTTAATTATTAAATTTTAATTTTAATTATTTACCTGAAGTCCTTTGCTTTTGTGGGAGACATCTTGAAGTATGTTTCATAATTATTTGCAATATGCATATTCAGGAATACATTATACATAAATATAATGCATACAGAGACACATACATAAGTTGTTTTATATATATATATCATTGTGTGTGTATACATGCAGTTATCTATCTCTATCTATGGACTCACCTTTCCTGGATTCAACAATAAACCAAAATATCTGAAAATATTATGTCTATAATAATCATCTCCAGATATTTTTCTTGTCATTATTCTGTAAACAATATAGTAAAACAATATAGTATAGTTGCTATACTATTTACATACCACTTACAATATATTAAATATTATAAATTACACAAAGATCATTTATACAGAAAGACGTTTAAGTTTTATATGCAAACACTATGCCCTTTTATAGAAGAGTTCTTTATTCAAAGATTTTGCAACCTAAAAGAAAGTCTTGAAACTAACTCTCTGTGTATGTCAACTGAAGATTAGATTGAAAGAAACATACGTAGGTACAAAATAGGGGTCAGGGATTTAGCTCAGTGGTTTCGCTGCACAAGGACCTGAGTTCAATCCCTGGCACCAAAAAAAAAAAAAATAGGTAGATACATATATAGATGAATGGATGAATAGATACATAGATAGATTCATAGTTACTTAGATGAAATAGATACGAAGATAAGCAGATGAGTGGATACATACATCTATATAGAGGTATAGATGCATAGATACATGAATAGAAACATATTTAGATACATACATAGAAACATAGTTACATAGATACATGGATAGATGGATAGCTTCATAGTTACATAGATACAGAGTTTCATAGAGACATAGATAAATAGATGAATGGATGCCTAGGTACATATACTATTTGTTTACCCACATAGATACATAGATATATAGTTTTCCCTGTTTATAGTAGCAAAATTCATAATAGCTAAATTACAGAAACAGGCTAGATGTCTATTCATAAATGAGTGGGTACGCAAAATCTTGCATATACAACAATGCAGACATGAAGGACCAATTTGAATCATTTGTTAAAAAAATGGATGCACCCTAAGGCCCTCAGGCTAAGTGGAATAAATGAGATACAGAAGTTCAAATACCACGTGGTTTCCCTTCTAAGATAAATGTACAGTATAAATATTTTAAAAATCAAAGTATAGCAGAGATGGGAGGGAACAGGAAGGTAGGGTTTTGGAAGATGGAAAAGGAATCAAGCAATGAGTAACCTGGTATGGTAGGAGGCAGGGGAATAGAGGAGCAAAATTATTCCAGATAAGAACTGTATATATACCAGTTCCATAAGATGATGGTAATTGTGTATCGTGAATGTATACTAAAAAAGTCAATATTTTTTTAATGAAGGGTTGGTCCTTATGACAGTGGTATTAGGATCAGGGGGAACCAAGAAGGAATAGGACCTGTTGAGGTGACTTTTGTTCATCCCAGATGACCTTGAATGCAACATTGAGATCCCCTCTCTTCTCTCTCACTTCCTTTCCACCAGAAAGCCTAAAACAACATGCTCTGGGCTGCCACACACACGCAAACACTGAGCCCAGCAATCATGGAAGAAAACTCTGCAACTGTGAACCAAAATAAAATTTCCCTCTTGCAAATTGGATTATCTCAGACATTTTGCCATAATCTTCCTCCGAACATCCATGCTTCTTTGGCAAACTGAGTTGAATGATTAAATTTTAAATATATTTCCTGACAACCCTAAACTTTATCATTATTATGGGATAGCACAAGGCAGGCATTTAAAAAAAAAATGTGCACCAAAAAGACGGAGTGCCCAATAAAGTAGGGA